CCATGTCAGGCGACGTGGATGGGGTGGAAATGACCGCGGGCGAAGCGTCGAACGCATCGATCGATCAGTGAACCCCACCACACCTCTGCAAAAGCTTGAATTGGCAAGGGTGCATGCGCCCATACTACGGGCTGTATGCGCTGCGATTGCGTCCTAGCAGCATAGCTTCGGCGCATGACGACATTCTGTCCAGGCCTGAGTCAGAGGGAGGCGAGAGGGCGCGCTGACAGAGTGGATGGGCGATGGGTATAGGACACGTCGTAGGCAGGAGCATGGTTCCGATCCCTTCGGCGCCTCGACTCACCACCGAGTGGCAGAGTCAGAGTCAGGGTCGTGTGTGCATAAAGAGAGTCGGAAAGAATGCGGCGAGAAGCGCTCTTTGCGAGCGTGTACCTACCCGCTGTACCGTCCGCACACGCAGCTGACGCGTGGGTTCATGCGCACTAGCGCGCTACTGTATTTCATGATCGTTGATTTCGCCATTTCAATTCAAACTGTGATTTTTGATTCAAAATTGCAGGAAGCCGATGTCGCTCGCTTGCGGTAGTTCAGTTCGCCTTGAGGTTGAGCCCGATCATCCATCCTCGCCTCCACACTGCTGCCTGTTCGTGGACACTTCATCACTGATAAAGGCGCAGCAGCGTACACGACCCACGCATCGAGCTTGACTAAGCTCCACCACCGCCTCTGCAGCACCTCACTCGTATGCGACGTGCTGATCCTCGTCCGCAAAAAGTGCTGGTTCGAGCCAGGGTCTCCACATCTCCCACCCCACCTCGACGCGCAAAATAGCGATCGACGCCTCATCTCTCGTGCCCCGGTCAGCTCCCACATATTCTCCAAGGTATCGCCATCTCGAACGAGTCTCTCTCGTCTCTCTCAAGCCGCGCCGCACTGCACCATGCTCGGCGCCATTTCGCAGAGAAGGGGCCATCAAGCAGTACTGATCAGCCGGTTGGGTGGCAGTGCGCTGCGCTCGCCAAGCAGTGACAGGCCCATGTCAGCGACATACAACAGCGGGGCAGCGGGCATCAACCTTGCTGGAGGCGTGGGGCACACAGATGCCCGCTCAGCTCGCCCTTCGCTCGCCAAATCCATGCGGCGATCTACTGGATCGGGGTCGACGCCCGAGCAACAACGCCGCACCTACCGGCTTCTTCCCACGCAAACAGTGGCAATCGCAGAATCTGCCATCAACTTCTCTGGGTCACCTCATCTTTTATTCGATGGGTCTGTCATCACGTCGGCGACTGAGGCTGGTGGAGCGTGGAAACAGCACAACAAGGGCAACGGTGTGCGCTTGGTGGCGGATGTTGTAGAAGATTCGCCGGGCGAGGTGCAGTTCTTACGACGCGGAGACGCAAGCTCGAGCGAGCTGAAAGGAACGAGCCACATCGCTCGCACTGCGCAAGAGGCTGAGGATGTAGCCAGTGCAATGCTCAAGAATCTCGTCTTGAGCCCCAAGCCGCCATTCCTGCCCAAGTCCGTCGGCCAGCTGCTCGTGACGCCCGTCCAAGCTCCTCATCCGAGCTCTCAGAGATCAGGCCTATCCATGCAAAATGCCAAGGTGGCTTTGCAGCCAGACGCGCGCAAATACAGCGTCCTGTTGCACGCTGATCGCGCCGTGCACTCGGTGGGACATGATGGCCGAACGCAGCTTGGACCTACTCTGCTCATCAGACCAGGTGCTGCGAGCGATGCCAGCCTCATCGAGCTGCACAGACATGGCGATGACGAGGTGGTAGCAGTGCCAATCGATGTGCTGCCTTTGGCGAACAGGAAGCTCCCGCAGCCCACTCCACTGGGTGCTCAGGCGGCCTGCGCCTCAGAGATCGACGCATTGATCCGCCAAGTGGGTAGCCGTGCGGCAGAGGAAGCCCTGACGCAATTGTCAAAAGCAGCAGATTTGGAGCAAACGCGACGTGAAAAGCTAGCGCATTTCCTTCGCGAGCTGTTTGTGATGTTCTGGAAGGGCGATGCTGAAAGAATTGCGGTCAAGCTTGCGATCACTGCTGATGGTAACGTCCAATTGGACAGCGACGTGCCCACAGTCGGCATCGAAGCTTCGTTCGACGATTTCTCTCTTTTCCGTCAATCTGATCTGACCGAGATGCGGTCCAAGAGTGGCGCACGATGGTCAGCAAGCTCTCCAGGCGAGGCTAACAGCACCACGCCGCTTGATGCGTCTTCTGCACGCGCACACGAGCTTCATCCACTCGAGCGCAAGGCGGAGGAAGCTGGCATGGTGTACAGAAAGCATCAGGGACACATTGGCTTGTTCGGATACGGCGCTGGGATGGGCATGGGCACCTTTGATGGAATTCGAGTTGCTGGTGGCGAGGTGAGTTGGAATACCGTGCGTCCCACCCTAGTCTCGTAAAAGAACCAACCTGATGCACGCTCCGCCACCTCCCACCGATGTACAGCCGGCAAACTTTGTGAGTCGTGTGCTCGAGTTGGTGTGCTTCCGTCATTGAATCCTGCGAATTCTCCTTGACCCCTTGCTTAATGGTCTGCGCACAGTTCGACGGAGGCGGCGGCGCAAGCGCTGAAAATGCTCGGGCTGCTATGGAGATCTTGAGTATGGACCCCGATGTCCATGTCATCTTTGTCAACAGTGAGTGTTAGAGGCATGCTCTCTTCGCATATTCGCTGCGAGATTCTCGGCAGGCTTACCACTTCTTCATCCTGCTTGACCTGATCAGTCTTTGGCGGCATTACGCGAACAGACCTTGTTGCCGAGGGCATCATTCGCGCATACACTGAGCTGGGCCTGAAGCATATACCTCTGGTTGTGCGTTTCCGCGGCAACATGGCTGAAGAGGCCAAGCAAAAGCTTCGGGACGCGTCGGACAGTGTACCAGCCAAGCTGTTCGATGACTTTGCCCAAGCTGCGGAAGAAGCCGTCAATTTAGCTCGCAAAAGGCGTGGGCCTTCAGCGTCGATCGTCAATGGCGCCGTAGACCAGCGGCGGTCGTTTTCAACGGCTGCAAGCGGTCTGGCTACGAGGACGTCTGGGCTGGCGCGCACACGCGCAATCGCTCAGCATCTGTGCGCGCCCCCTTTCTCGAGCGCCAAGCGGTCGTTCACCACGTCAAGCACAGCCAAAGTCGAAACACACCCTCGTGGAAGTTTTGAGTTCTTGACGGGATACGCTTTTGCGGGCAAGCCGCGTGGGCCCTCGAGCAGCGAAGGGGAGGGCCAAGAGCAAGGTTCGAAATCCGGCGAGGCCGACAAGGCGGCAGCCGCATCTTCTGCATCCGCACCTCGTCTTCCTCAACAGGGATTTGTATCTGATTCCGATGTTGGTAGATGGAGAGATGCAATGTTGACAGGAGGGGAAGCCGGTGAAGATAGCTTGACTTGCTCAAATATGGGCTCCGAAGGTGGTACATCGGACTCTGGTGGCCTTGGTCTTGGCACTCGTGCTGGAGATGTCTTGCTCGGTGTTGCTGATGGTGTTGGTGGATGGTCAGAGAATGGCGTAGATCCTGCTCTTTTCAGGTGAGTATGCATCGTAGGCAGCGAGGGTCGTCGAGTTGAAGCGCATATCCTGAGATCTTTACTCTTCGGTCACAGCCAATCGTTGATGTATTACGCTACGCAATACGCCTCCGAGGTGTTGGCATGTCCAAACCGATCGCGGCACTCGGTATCTTCCTCACCTAGTGAAAGTGAAAGTGAAAGTGAAAGTGAAAGTGAAAGTGAAAGTGAAAGTGGACCTTCCACGCCTGCCACCTCACCAGGCTCAGATGGGGGACTAGGGCACGCCGGATCGCCCCTGTCGATTCTTTCCCATGCATACTCCAAGACACTTAAGGATGCCCGCGTCCCTGCGGGCAGCTCGACAGCCACCATTGTGACGTTGGATTCTCATCGGGGTGTCCTTCGTGCGGCCAATTTGGGAGATTCAGGCTTTCTTGTGCTCAGATCATCCCCTATCAGCAGCACAATCAAGGACGCTTCCGGACAGACAAGTATGCAGCAAGTTGTGCGGAAGCAATGGGGATCAGGAACGTCTGGTCTGCCAGTAGTCGATGGCGTGCTCTACGCTTCTGCACCGCTGCAGCACGGCTTCAATACGCCGTACCAGCTCGCCAAACTTCCCCCCGCTTTGAGACAGGAAGGCTCCATCGACAGCTCGCCAAAAGATGCTTCGCTTGTAGAAGGCCAACTCCGAGGCGGAGATCTGATTCTGCTTGGAACGGATGGGTATTTCGACAACGTCTCGCTGGTCGAGACTGCTCAGCTCGTCAACTTTGTTCGCGACAAGCATCACCAGAGTTGGAGTGCCAGACATCCTCCCCCGGCAACGATGGATCAAGCTAGCGCCGTTCCCGACAGTCAGGTCAAGTCTAGCAGCGCAGACGCACCGCAAGACGAGCTTGCTGAGGAGAGGGAGATGGTACAGACGGTCGCACACAAGTCAGTACCAGCGCTGCAGACCCGAAACTTGGTCGACGTTACTTACCCCGCCACCCCTGATCTTTTTTGTCTCCAGTCTCGTGCAATTTGCGGTGAGCAGAAACTTGCAAAGCAGCCAGATGATGGTCGAGTGATACTGACTTTTAAATCACTACTTCACCCTTCAGATCATGTGCATGAACTCTACTCAAAAGCAATCCCCTTTCGAGCGTGAAGCAGCAAGGCACGGCATCCGGTATCCAGGCGGTAAAGTGGACGGTGAGTAATGCCAGGCGGGGTCGACCCCACACTAGTCGTGCGACGACCGAGTAAGCGCTGTCTCCTTGTCTGACTTGCGTCAATTTCGTCCTGTAAACTGTCAGATGTCGCGCTTGTTGCTGCCCTCGTCGTAGAGCGCTGAATTGTTGGCGCCTAGCACTGTCGCATCCGTATCTCGAACCCAGCTCCTTTGTTCGGGCTTCAAAACCTCTGGCACCATCTTGCGCTGCACGGTCACTGATTACCAAGCAATGGAAGCCTCATCGGCCCGTCCGGCTCACGCATTGGAGGGGTGTTCCTCGGGCAGCCGATGGCCGAAGAGCCTAGCCCATAGTGATTTATCCATGTACGATTGGAATTCGAGGAGTTGTCATGCTTCTTGATCAAAGAAGCCTTTCACCACGAGCGCAGTCTGAAAAGGCGTAGTCACTGGCTTTTGAAGATATCCATAGCGCTACGGTACCTCGATTGCTGCGCCTGCTCAAGACCGCTTGATCAAGCGGCACCCTTCGCAGTGAATTGGTGACGCACCGGTCAGCAAAGACGGTGCGGTGCGCTCGCTCGCTTCATCTAGCCGCCACGCACGGCCGACGCGTCTGTGAAGTGATGCTGCATGTACGCTGAGCCCCTGCAGCCTACCGCGGTATGCGCTGCCTGCTGACTTGCATGGGCTGGCTACATTACGGTACAGCTGCTGCACTCACACTCGTGACTGCTCGCGTGCCTAAGCTGAGATGATGATGCGTCGTTCTGGCACGCAACCTGCGCTCCGCCTCCACCCTCGCCGTGCTCTTCACAACCACCTCTACACATCGCCTGCTCCCTTGAACGAGCTTGCTGCCTGCCTGCTCGCTCGCTCGCCCGCCAATTTGTTCCTCTCCAACATACGTCCTCGACCCTGTAAGCGCTCGCGCCAGCATCCTACGTGGTAGGTCCCTGGGCTGGGCAATCAAGCGTCGGCGTGCACACACGAGCCAGCATGCTCTCTCAACCTCGCAACCCTACCAGCAAGCTGGGCAATCCATTCGCCGCTTCGGGTAGCGGTGCTGCCAATGCATCATCGATGCCAAGCGCTGCAAGCGCACGTATGGACTCTTCTTCAAAGGGCGCAGCTAGCAGCGGGGAGGCTTCATCGACCCCAAGTCCCGTGCGAAAAGATGCGGCGAATGGCATTCATCCCATACTTGGGGCATCAATGGTGCGTAGAGGCTCAAGACTGATGGAAGTATGGGATGATGCAATAAATCGTCACCACCACAAGTCGTGTCACATGACGGCTTCAGTGCTGCGCTTGCTGCTCTTCGCCGAGAAGCCGCCGATGCTCGGGACTCTTCTTGCCCGCATCTGGGCTTGGCCCATCAGTGGACTCTCGAACGTGTCAAGCGTTGATTTGACACCTCGGCCCTGTAGTACGCGGTGCGAGACAACCCGTCGGACATACCGATGCCGCTTCTTCGGAAGGGCTCCGAGCTTGAGGACTTGAGGGGGCATCCATGCCAGGGAGGCATGTCGAGAGTCCCCGACACTTGATACTAGAGTGTCAAGGTACTTGGTGCAACGGCTACAGCATGGCAGCGCGGACGTTAATTGTGTGCTGGCTCGAAGCGTGCACCTCTTCCAATCATTCTATCATCGCAGGTCCGGATGTTGCTAACCAGCCAATCTGTACGTACAGGCATCACACGTCGCCAAGAAGGAGCCCGGGACAAAGAAGCTAGCAGATCCCGCCCTCACTCCCGCTCATGCAGCCGCAGCGATGCATGCGGATGATGACAACGATGACGCCATGTCGACCATTTCGAGGCACACGCTCAAGACCTTGCCGGGCAGGCGAGCCAATGCTGGAGACAGCGGCAGCGCTTTCAGCTTACCAGGAACGCCACTGGGAGAAGGCGAAGACGATAACGAGAGGCTCGCTGGCGATGCTGAATCGGCGGCCGCGGATGCGCTCAATAATGCTGAGCTTGCTCGGCAAAGAAGAAAGACGCTGCTGGAAGCAGGCTACAAGCTTTTCCTCTTGTTCGTCGTGTGCGCTGGCATACTCGCTGCCACGCTATATTTTGTGCTGCCAGAAATCGACGAGTGAGTCTACCGGACGCCTTGTTGGGAGGCAGGCTCATAGGGAGCGCCACAAGTACTGACACTTTCTTCTGCCCGCCCCTTGCAGCAATGACAGAGAATACTTGCGCATACCACGATCCTTTGAGCAGCTCAAAGAGCTCAATAGCGTCCTGCAGCGGTACAAAGATCGCAATTTTGCACGGGTCATGATCTGTTGGGTCGTGCTTTACATGTTTCTACAAGCATTCAGCATCCCCGGGTCCATGTACATGTCGATCCTGGCGGGCGCTATGTGGGGCGTCGCTCTGGCATTGCCCATCGTCTGCGCAAGCGTCGCCACTGGGGCTACGATCTGCTACTTGATATCCGCCTTTATGGGAGAAGCTGTACTGGGAGCGCTCCCAAAATGGAAAGCTAGAGTAGATGCGTGGAAGGACAAGATCCAAGCGCAGGACAATCTTCTCTCTTACCTCATCGTCATTCGCATGATGCCCTTGCCGCCGCACAACGTAGTCAACCTCTTGGCTCCTCACCTCGGCATCCAAGTGCCCTTGTTTTGGCTGAGCACCTTTTTCGGCATCTTTACCGTCAGCGTCATTCACACCACCATTGGCGAAAAGCTGGATCAAATGACCAGCTCGGCAGATTTCAACCTCATCAGCGTCAGGAATGCGGTCCTCATGTGCGTCGTCATCGCAGCCGCTTTGACGCCAGTACTGGTCAAAAGGTACACTAGAGCTGGAGCTGCGCCTCTCGAAGAAGCGCCGGTGACACAAGGACAGGTCAGACTTGAAGGCGAAGAAGGCCTCAGAGTCCATCCTGGTACCGCTAATGGATCCAACGGCAGAAATCGGGGCTTACTGGGACGCACCGCCCTGGGTCGTTTCGACGCGGGACAAGATTCCGATGAATTAGATTCGGATGGCGAGGACGACGAGCTGCCCAGGGTAAGCCTTCGCGATGCTGTCCAGGGCCGTTCCTACCCGTCCAGACGCAACGCCAGAGCACCAGCGGTGTCCAACGAAGTTGCCTGGCGAACGACGGAGAGAGATGTGGATGATGGCGCATACGCGTCGGAAGATGAGAATCGTTTCTCCAGGAATAGCAGCGGCGCTGCGTCACCCGCGCCAAGCTCAATTGACGAGGGAGCCACCATGTTCGATGACCGATTGGAAGAAGGCCGTCTAAATGGGCATGCGCACAATCAGTCTCCGAACGCCTTCCCTAGACCTGCAGGCAAGGCTGCTAAGTTGCTCGGCTACCCTTCCAACCCTCAAAATTCGGCCTCCGGAACAGCAGAATATGGAGCCACATCGCAAGGTATCGGTCAGCAAGCCAGAGATCTTTGGGGGAAGGTGACCGGTGGCAATGGCCGTTGATGTGACATCGTCTCTGTCACGATCAGCAGGCATCTCTCCCGTCTCCCCCATCTCAATCGCGCAGCACAATTGCAAGTGGCCTCCATCGACTGTGTGACCCTCTTCATCTGATCAATTATGTAGGATAGCACGACCCCGCAGAGACATGAATGAACACCGCTTCCTGGCGAAATGCTTGCTTGCGATTCAATTGCAGCGGCATGTTGTGTAGCATGGAGATGCGCACTCTGAAGGGAAAGGATCAGACACGGATGCCGATATTTGCGCCATTGCTCCTACGTCCTTTTCGCGCCTGCTGGTGAAGACCAGCATCGCCTCGAAGGAGAGATCGCCGCCTGTACGTATGTTTGTCGCGCGGAGCGCCGTGTGATGGGCGATTTGGTGGGTTGACGAACCCCAAAGCAATTCTGCGAGTGTGACGTATTGATCTGTAGATTCGAGCTCGCAGGCTCCTCCGCCAATGCTCGAGAGAATCGAATGTTGCCGAGGAGCCGGCTCAGCCCACGCTTCTGATGTCTCCTTTCTATTTGCGCTTGCCTGCGATTGACCACTCCGCAGTCCAAGTGATCGGACCCCTTCGCGAAGCATGTCCAGGGTCCATGAGCTGCTGAGCGCCTCAGACAATCGGAAGGCATGCGTCTCTATATACCAACAATTTGTGTTGCATTGTGTGCTTGGGATTTTGAAGGGACGCGTGTTTATATACCACCGATTTTTTGCGCAATGTGTGCTTGGGTCGATATAGTCTAGTTGGGTTGGCCTCCTTCTAAGATTTCTCCTTTGAGCGCAGTATGCGTATGTTTGGATGCCGCCGGTAGAGTCGTTTCGAATCCCGTTGATGGTGCCTTACAACCTTACTTTTGCTGCGCGCGAGAAGCGAACGCGATCTCTTACCCTTGCATCCGCGCTCACAAGCTCTCCTGTTGTGCTGCATTTGGGATTTACAGTCGCGTGCGCCAAGTCTGGTGAATCATCTGAGTAACCGCCAAAAAAGAGCGATTCTCGTTTGATATGCTCTATGAATTTGCTTGTGCTTCCCAAGTGCGGTGAGTGGGGCGCATCACGTTCTCGTCTTCCATAACGCTGACGAGTGAAGACCAGCCATGCCCAGTAAGCCTCGAGCCGGACAGGCATGACCAGTGAAGCGAGGGAGCACTCGGCAAAAGTCTATTCGCCATGCACTCACTCATCTTGTTCCCTCTTCCGCCGTGCATTGCTTGAATTGCTCGTCAACCCGTTTTGCTTGGGGGCGAGCGTGCCTCGCGCTCGTACGAGGACCTCAAACTCCTTCATCTGATTGACGAAGCCCTGAAAGGCACGTCCAAAGATGATCGAGAGTCTGGTGAGCGTCCAGGGAGAAGATTGAGCCTGCCTGCCTGCCACTTGTCTCACGGGATTGATGTGCATGCAATAACGTCTTGCAGACACGTGCGACATTGCCTCATCGTACCTCATGTTGCGCTTGTCGATCAGATACCTGACGCGTACCACAAGAGATTGCGTCGAGTTATAGCTCAGTTGCAGGAGAGACGACGTCGTGCTGTTACAGCACTCACATGATGGCCAGGGCAGGCGCTCGACTGATACCGCTGTCATCGTGCAAGAGCACTTTACCGCCCCGAGTGAGCTCATGGTCGATGAATGCCTGGGCTTGAGGGTAAAGCCTGATCAGGTTTTGAAATTCGTTGTCCTGCACGTCTTCGAGGATGAGGTAAGCGAATTGGTTGGGAAAACGGGGTTTCAAGAATGGCGCTCTGGTGGAGTGATGCGACGTGAGGGGGGCAGCCAAGAGACGTGTTCTAGGGATGAGTCCCGCTTCTGTAGAAGCGACGAAGCATGCTCGGATCAAGCTGACTGAATCATCCGACGCTACTTACTCGTGCTTGCTCCTCACAATGATGATGGCAGTGATGCGTTCCATGTGCAGCCTCGCCAAGTCCTTTGAGGGTTCCGAAGGGCCGACGAAGAGACCAGGAGTGACTTGCTGCATCTCTCGCCTCATCTCATACTGCCACACGCCCGAGTCTGACCTCAGATCGACATCCATCACGCCTTGCCGCTTCACTGCTCGCCAAGCATTGCCAGCTCTCGAGTTGCCTCTCCTTCGCTCGAGGCCCACGTATATGATGCCTGCTGCAGCTAGGTCCGTGACTGTATGCGCAAGGTCAAGGTACTTGATGCAAGCCTGACTAAAGGTCTGTAACGAGCCGGCCAACGAAGGATGTGTTCGGTCCGGCCAGGATAGCGAGGCTCGCCGATGGGCAGTTGTGCTGAGACAGGTCAGCTGCGGGAGTGTGGTCGTATCAGTGATGACGATCGAGCCCGGGAAAGCACGCATCGACCATCAGTCAAACCAAGCCAACAACACCCTTCTCCCGACTGCGCCCCTGTGCCGTCGCGCACTCGCGCAGCGTACCACACAGCATGCCTGAGTCACGAGTGGCTGCAGGCGGCACAGCCACTTTGCCTCGTGACTGTGACTTAGTGTGCAGCACGCCCACCGCGCCAACATCACCGCAGCTGCACAACACTCCTCACGACTGACTCGGTTCCCACGTTTGCAGCCCGCCCGGTCTGGATCAGTTGGGAGCTTCAACGACGGTGGACGTCGCTTGAAAAGGGAGGACAGCGCACTCCTACTTCATTACTTGAACCCTACGAACTGCACAGCCACACAAGACAGACGACTCGTCATATAGATTCACTTTTATACAAGTACACTCGCAGCAAGGGTAAACCAGTAACGACATCAAAAAACTTCAACCAGCTGAATAAGGAGTAGGCAAGGTGCAGACGAGCGGATGACGACATTGGCGATTGTAATGCTGCAGAGCGTGCCAAACATCAGTAAAGTTTCGACGTGGGAGCGATGAGCTCCTACTGTGAAGGAAATCAGAACACCAGCATATCTGCAGGCATAGCACAGGCACTGCTCTGCAATCCGGGGGCGTGCTCCCAGGTCTTGAGACGTAGGGAGCCAAGGGTCGCTGCCTAGCTGTCGAAGCGGCCCTCGGCAGCGTCGCCATCCATCAAAGCATTGAGGGCTTCCCTCGCATCAAGGTAGATGCTTTCCTCGCGCGATTCCGTTCCCTCTCGGGCACCGGGAGCACGTTTCTGAGGCGTGTGGAGCGTGGTCTGCACCGCTCGAGGGGACAAACCTAGAGCGGACACCTCGCCACGTGGGAACGTGGCCTCTTTCGGCAGAATCGGCGCTGGAGCTGCAGCAGATGCACTGAAGGAAGACGCGGATCGCTGCGATGCTTCGGCAGGCAAAGAAGCATCTTGATGTGCAGCGCCTAGTGCAGGAGCAAGGTTGTGCCCACTGGTGCCAGCTGTGTCTGCCGGAGCAGCTGACTCCGTGACTATGACGCCCACGGGCGAGTGTGGTGTAGAGCCAGCTTCTTGACCGTCGCTAGCTGGCGGTGCTGGAGCTGGAGCGAATGTGGGCGGTACATCTTCTTCCACGAGAGTGGCCTCGGCCTCAACACCGACCTCGGGAGGCTCTGGCTCGAAGAGCCATTCGTGAGTAGTGACGATAAGCTTGACGATGTGCGCTGCTTTGCCGATATTGCCGAAACTCTGAGCAACGCTGGCGGGCCCAGGAGGAGGGTTGAGAAGTGATGTGCCGAAGACAAGCCCGATATTGTGAGGTGCCATCAAATTGCGCTCGCCTTCCTCGCAAATTCTCGCCAAGTGTTCTGACATCCGGCGTAGGACTTCAAAGTGAGGCTGAGGGAATTCCCAAATGATGTCTCGTATTGCGTATAGTCGATCTTCATAATTTTCGACACGCTCCGCCTCTATCAACGCGTTGTAATGTTGAAAAGGCACCACAGGCTCTGGCAGATCTCTAAGCCACTGCTTGATGGCGCCGGCAATGGTGTGCACATCGCTGTACTCTCCAGTCGACAGCTCAACGGACTCTGCCGGCTGTTTGCTGAAGGCGATTTTGAGACCCTCTATGGCATTCTTCGCCCCAGAAATTCTGTAGATGCCTTGCTCCAAAAGTCCTGCGTAGTGGAGGAGCAAACCATGAGTTGCCACGCGCGCATGATTCCGAGATTGTAGACGACTCACCTCTTGCTTCGACCTCCGCAAGCATGCGCTCTAGGCCAAGCGGCACACTGCGCTTGTCCCGTGCAGCAAGGGTCATCAGGTCGATGTTGTAGAGAGGCATGACTGCAAAGTCCGAGGCGCATCAAGCGAAGGTTAGTGGCGTCCCACAACAGACGACAGAATTTTCTCGTCTCACCTGCTTTTCCCTTAAGAGCCGCGGACTTCGATGGATCGCCAGACCGTGGCGCTGCGTACTGACTGGCAGCTTTTTGAATCTCTCGCAGCCATTCAACGGTCTCCATTTGGGATGGAGCCTGCAGCACGTGATTGCCGCTCTCCGGACTGCTGAGGTGAAACACAAAGCTGCGCTGATTATTACTCCACAGCGACGCTTGAGCCGATGCAGCCCCAATTATCACGGCGTGCTTCATTGTGGGGGTCAGTTCAAGCAGCTGTGCTGCCGTGCGTTGTGGTGTATCTGCTTTATCGGCAGACGGTCGGATAGCGCCCCTGAACAAAGCCGTCATTCGTCGAGCTCGCTTCTCTATGGGTGCTGTTGCAGTGGCTGACGCCGGTGTCCCACCGACATGCAGCCCAGGCTGAGGAGTGTTGCCTACCGAAAGGCTTGGTCGCATAGGTGCAGCTTGAGGAGACGAGATTCGGACAGGCTCCTTGGCGACGTGCAGGAGGATTTCGTACGCCATGCGATCCCGCCGCTGCTTCTCTTGCTGTTCGGAAGTCAAAGCCACAAGCGGCTTCGTCGGTTTGAACTTCGCAGGTAGAGCGGGCGCTCCAGCCGACTCTTGCGCGGCGTCATCCTTGAAAGCGCGTCGATCCCAACCGACTTTGCGCAACGCTGCTTGCATAGCATTCAGACGCGCGCTGGCAATCTCGATTACCTTTGCCTCGATTTCTACGGGCCGGATCCGCAAGGATGACTCGATGAGGTTATAGATAGTCCGAGATTTGTCGAAATCCAACAGCGCGCTGTTGGCGTGGATGTGCTCAGATTGCCTGGTGACTGTTTCCGCGAGTGACTTGAGGATCCAGCCGACATCCGGGGTCGACTGCGCATTGGTCGCCCCGCTATACGCGCTGGCGACTCGAGCGGGAGGGAACAGCCCCTCAAAAGTCTCCCCTGTAGCTTCACGGGAGGCTGCAACACCGTGCCACGCGCGTTGGAAAATGCGGCTTTCCGAGGCTGTCAGCGCACCAACGATCACGCTCTCTACGAAAGATGTCACTGTCGTCTCCTTGAATGGACCAGGCGCAGCGAAGGATGTGTTGACTGTGTCCTCCGAGCGCACTCTGGACATGCGAGTGCGACAGATCCAGACAGCATCAAGAAGCTTCGCCAGTCGGCTCTGCCGCCGCTGCAGGCCTATGCGAGACTCGATGCTGCGATAAGGAATGACTTTGGCGTCAGCTTTGATGACGCCTTCAGCGGAAACGTTTGCCACTCACATGTGGATTGCGATCCAGCCACGGAGCATGTTTTGAGCAGCGCAGGCATCGCGCAGGGCTGGTGGTAGAGTTTGATGTAATGAGGGCGAGTCCTTGCCTTCACCTGGAGCTCGCAGGAACTCCAGCAGCTTGTACATGTTGTTTGTCTGAGTCGAGTCGTCGGCGCCAGTCGCAGGCGTCGCACTTCGCACATGCCAGCCCGTGGCAACGCTTGACTGCCTTTCAAACATCTCACTAGCCACCAGAAGATCACGCTGCGTGATCTTGTCGAAGAAGACCGCTGCAATGCTTTCGAGAAATCGCACGAGGTCGGGAGCGGACGTCCGATCGAAGTCCAAGTCAGTGCCCATTGTATCCATGTGGTTGGGGTTGGTGCTGCCGTCAGAATTGCGTACAAGATTGAAGTGCTCGGCGCCTGGCGGCATGTCGGATGGCCGTGTGTTGGCACACATCGCGCTGGTCCGCAGCTTGAGCAGGAGATCGTCCACGACAGAGACGACAAGCCCATAATCAGGATCATCTTCATGGCGCGGATTCAACCCTGGCGGCGATTTGGCGAAGTTGAGCGCTCCATCGAAAAGCTCTGCGTCGTCTGCAAAATCTTGCGGACATCGTTGTGCCCACTCGCGTAAGACCGTGATGACACCGAGGCGAATGCGACTGACGAACTCCCAGTCGATCGGTTCCATGCGACTCCCAACCGGGTCAGCCCTCGCCCACGAAGGGAACTGATTTGCACTGCGGTGCTGGGCCGGAAGAGCCATTTCTCTGCTAGCTTGAACTGCACCTGCAAAGCGTTTTGCCAAGTAGTCGAAGAGCACGATTGGGGTACAGAGACGCCTATATGTGGTCAAGAAAATTGCTCTGAAGTGTGGCAGGTCCATGGAGAGGCGCCATCTGCGTTGATTAGACAGTGGCGTCTCGCCGTGATCATCCGATAAAGGGAGCACTGTGACATGCTGAACACCCAGGACAAGCACGTCCACAAGGCGCTCAAGTGTCGCTGCACTGATCACTACGCTCACCGGCGTGCTTGAAGCTTCCACGATGGAGCTACGATTTGACGCTGGCAAGCTTGATCGTTTGGACACCTGCGACAGCGGCCGCGTGGCGTTGCCCATCTCTTGGGAGAAGCGCTTGCTAGTCATCGGCGTACCAGGAGCGCTCGTCGTGCCAGCTTCCGCGACGACTGTCACGACCAACTCAGCACCAATCTTGAAGACAGTTGGCTCCCCGCCCAACGATCCACGTCGATTGCTATCCCACTCCGCTATGCCAGAGAAGGGCACACCTTTGGCGTTTGAGCGGCTCGTCGGCGGAAAAGTGCGGGAGCGAAGGAGTGGTGAGCCGGCAAGCGTGGGTCGAGCACCTTTGTGCGCTCTGACCGTGGCCTCGTTGTCCTCGGCTTGTATGGACTTGAGACGCCTGGAATTTGCGGAGCTTGTGCTGCTGTTGCCCAGTTGGGAAGGCCCGGTAATCAGATTGATAACCCTGTCCCGGTCCAACAAAGTCAGTGTGGGAAGCGTCTCGGTAAAAAGGAGTGGTGCTAGCGCACACGCTACTGTGACTTCGGTCATAGGGGCGTGCCACCTGTGGTCCACACGACCCAAGGAGCGTGGCTCCGTAGCTAGTGAGGGGGACATGTAGCGCGAAAGGCCAAGCTCCTCTGTCGACTGCGTCGACTGACTCCACTCGCCCTTTGAGCTGAGCTCGAGCAAGCTCAAAAAGGCGCGCTGCTGCTCCGGAATAGCAGGCGCGACTCCTGGGTACGTCCTTGCGCTTGTGCGCTCCTGTTCGGGAGGTCCATACTGCTTCAGCCATGTCTCTCCCAGCGCAAGTGACCTCCGTGCAGCCTGGAGCGAAGAAACGACATCTAGCTGATTTGCCAGGGGTGCCGCATGGCCCTGTTGGTCGTCAGAATGGTCGACAAATACATTGCCGAGAAATGGCAACGTCTCGACGCGCTTGCCATTGTTACCTTCGACGACATCGAGCGAATCTGCCGATCCGCTCGCTGCTGATGCCGATGACACGTTGATGATGAGAGGCGCTATCTGGCAGTCGGGTCCTTCATTACCATCGGTCCATCCCAGTTTGGCCAATTGTGGTGCCCAGGTCTTTGAGACAATGGTCCTGTCATTGGAAGCAACATAGCGCCAAGTTTGGTCCAGCCTGGAGACAGGGCGAGAGCAAAGGGCAGCGGTGACAGCAGCCCAGCCGACCAAATCACCAAAGGTAAGGAGGTAGGACGCGATAGCAATCCAGTGCCGCATGATCGCAGCGCGGTGGCGAGCGGTATTGCCGGACTCAGGTCGACGGGCGGTAGACTGCGGGCCCGTTTCGATAGCTTCATCGAAGAGTTGGTCCATGACGAGACGGGTGATGAAATGTGGACGTGAAGCGTCGAAGCTTAGGAGCCCAGAATTGAGGGCATTGGATCTGGAGAACAAGCGGCCTATGGATAAAGTGGGCGCCAAGAAAGACCTCAAGCGGTCAGCATGGAAGATTTGAAGCTGCTGTGCGATTTCTGGTGGTTCGAGATTCAAAAAGCTGGAGGGGCTAAGCTTGTGCCGAACAATGTCATGCAAATGATCTCTAGAAGCGCGTCCTCTAATTGCCTCGATCCAGTCTGGAGCCTTCGGTACGCTATGGTGCTGCTCAACGGCATCTTGCACCAGGACACTGAGGACGCTGTGTCGGGCCTTCTCGGCTTCTGCTCCAGAAGAAGTCATGTCGACGAGCGCTTGAAGTACCTCGGCAGCTCCGCGGCGGTCGTTGTCGTCTGACGCGTAGTCAAGCGGCCGCGACATAGCCACAGCAGCTAGCCTCTCGCGGACCTCGGCTTTGAATTTGAGGACGACGGGTGAGCTTGCGTCAGTGATCAACGAGCCAGCGAGCTCATCCTCTACACCCAAGGAGAGGGCTTCAACAGCCCACTTCTGCACGGCGACCAGTACTTTTTGAATAGGGCGTCCAGATCTGGCTGTCGCAATTAGAAGGCTCAAGACGTATGTCTCCACCTCATCGCTACGTTCAGTACCATCCTTGGGCTGAGCAGTAGCCGCGGTAGCACTCGAAGATCCGACAGAGAATTGCGTGGCGAAGACGAGCTCGTGCGCGAGGCTTTCCATCGGACTAGCGACGATGCGCTCGATCCAGCTCGCTGGCGGTGTAACTGTCTCGGCGAGAGAGAGGTCTGGATGTTTTCCAGGCGCGGCCCACGAGGAGCTCGCTTCCATTGCAGGCGGCTCTCGCGCTTCTGATGTTGTGGGCGTGGCGATGTTCGGTGGAGCACCAGCACCACTGTCTCCACGTTTAGTGGCCGGCCGCGCAGTTGACGTGCGTGGCGCACCGGCGGATCTTCCCTGTGAGCTTGCAGTAGCTGCCAACAATTCCTGTTGAGCCAGCGCCTTCTTGATCGCATCCAAGTCAACAGGTGCAGTTGTCCCTGCGATTGGCCTGACGAGGGACGTGGGAAAAAGAGCTTTGACATCATCTGAGATGCTGCTTGGAGGCTTGAAGAAGTATAGGCGTCCTTCTCTCAGGATGACTTTGTAAGGCTTCCAGCCTTTACTCAGGTCCTTCTCGCGCTCTCTGCCTTTGTCGCCGCCCTCCTGTAACTGTGAAAGTGGCAACGAGATGTTGGCATTCCGATTCAAGAAACCTTGATACGTAGCTCCGGACGGCAGAGATGTGCCGTGCGAGGCGTCATCTTGAGGACGGGAAACGAAGGGTAGCCCCATTGCAGTGCCTGCTTCCCGCAGAGCACCTTGTTTGGATCCCTTCCGAGAATGCTTGTTTGGTGTGGAACCCAAATGTTGGGGTGGAATGGGGGGAACTTGAGGCCAGGTCGAGCTCTGGGGCGCAGAACTGAAAGGGATGTGGGCGCCGCCTCCAAGCGCCGGACTTTGACTCTGGTAGCCCTGAGCAGGACCCGCAATGGTCTGTGGGGTTTGCTGTGAGACCGGCACGTGCGGAGATCCCCCGCTACTATTTGCATTCCAGCGTTGCAGCTGTTGTGCTTGATTGCCTACTGCGCTTCGACTTGAAAGTGCACCAACTTCACTTGGGCGTCCCCAGTCAGCGGCAGGCACCCCATGTTCTCCCCAAGTCGCGTCAGTTCTGTGCTGCTGCGGTTGGTGCTGGCGCACAGCAGCAGCTTTTCCCGCGCTACCGGTCGTTGCAGCAGTCAAAGGCGGTGTTGCAGCATGATTGAGGTCGTCTACGCTGCGTGAGTAGCCGATGTTGGGGCTGGGCGAGCGGAGGTGCTGAGGATCGTCGCTACCGAGGAAATTGACCGGGAGATTCGACGCCGCTGTTTGACCGAAAGGTCTCGGCAGCTCCGCATTGCCTATAGTCGGCGAAGGGAACTCGTGACGGTGCGACAAATCGGACTGACTGCGACTGAATTGAGCATAGCCCAACCCAGGGGCGCCCGAGTTGCCATTGCTGCCGAGAGAGTCTTGTCGCAAATTTGCTCCCCTGCTAAGAGGGCTGTGGGCGTAGCCGCCTCGGGAAGCGTTAGAGCCTGCGCTTGGGGGATTGATAGCCAGAGTCGGAGAATTCTTCGTGACGCTTGCGTTTGAAGTCTTCCGATCTCTGTGCCCTCCAAAGAAGCTCCGTTTGGTGGGACTTGACACTGTGATGGCATCCTCAGCTCCAAAGCTGGGCCGATTGGTGGTGGGATAGCGGCCAAAGTCCGTGACGGACCCGCCGCGCTCGATGGCGAAGTTCTGATACACGCCGCTAGAGCCACCCGCAGCGCTTCCAATGGCGATCCCACTGGGTGAGCTGTTGCCACCACCACCACCACCTGCTGAAGCCCCGCTACTCGAACCGGAAGCTACCCGGGATCGGCTTGCTCCTTGAAAGACGCCGGGATGCATGTTGGATGGCAGCGAAGCATGATCGGGTCCCTCCTCGAACACGGGCTGAGACGCGAGCGATGACATTGAGGCCGAGGCATTGATAGCTCCATGTCCACCTCCACCAGATGCGTAGAGGCCATGCTGGTTGCCCAAAGAGGTGCCTGGATGATTTGTGGCGCCGCCAGAGGAGAATGTGCCCTTTGCCTTGGAGATCAAGAAATTGAAAGCAGATTGACTGCGACCTATTCCCGACTGCGATTGACTCTGCTGAGCTTGAGACTGTGCAGAGGGCGGAATCGCCGAGTTGATGGATGCACTAGGTGCCCCATTGCTGGGAGGGGGCATGATTGACCGCTAGCAAACAGAGCACGGCGTAAGAGATGACAGTGGTAGCGGTGTCGTCTAGCTGCCAGAAGCGTGGAGCTTGAACGCGACCAGCGACCCGAAGCGGAAACGGCGGTGAAGATGTCGGCTGGCGGTTCCAAGAATGTTCAGCTAGTGATCCACCTGCACTGAGCATGAGTTGTGGGAATGCGTGGGTCGATTGCGTCGACGGGACGGAGCAGTCCAGATCTACTGCTGGTGATGATCAGGAAAGGCAGGCATGTACCACATGCATTCATGCGACCCATGCGCCGCACCCGGCCAAGCAACAGCAGACCTGCTTCGCCAAGCTCAGTTACACCAAAGCTGTCTGACTTGACGTATGAAAGGCAGGTGCGGTCGGAGCACATGTGCGGAAGAGATCGGGCGGTCAGAACCCCACTTCCAAGCTGTTCCCTACAGTTCAACGTGCTCACCTTTCACAGCCCTGAGAAGACTGTAGCACAGACCTGGTGCGCAGCGGGCCCGCAGTCTCAGATCGAAGGCTCTCAGGCTAGCTGCGTTGAGCTCGGACGAGGGTCTCACGTCGTAAGTTGTGTGGTATGGGTCCAGTCGCGACTCGAGCGTTGCAGGAGTGAGGGAGAATGGGTTCCGTCGGGTCGCATGCTGGTGATTGCGCTGCGATTGATGCTGTTGGACTCGCGGGCCGCGTTTCTTGTTTATTGGTACATATGCACCCATCACCCACGCAGACAGCAGCAAGCACTTGGTACATTGTGATTCGTGATTTACGTTTGATTTCTGTGTGCGTGCGTGCGCGCGCATGGCATGCATCACCCGCGCGCGCGGCGTCTGTCATTTCGTGAGCCGTGATCAGCAGTCTTGTCTCGCGTGATTGTGCAGCAGCAGTGCTGGCGGTATATGTATGCACGCAGTATGCAGACGGGCGCCATGCATGCCATGCACCCGCAGAGGCATCATAACAACAAAGTGATGACCCCCCCGCGCCATCGCGTGGAGACTATCAAGAACAATTCTCAATATCACGACAGCTTGCACAGCCAAGGTTGGAAATCAAACGCAAAGGCGAGCAAGAAGGGTAAGAGCAACTGCATTCGACGCACAGCTTCACAGCAAGGTCAACAAATCAAGAATCGTGAATGTCAGTTTGAGTCAAAGTGTCGAGATGCATCATGTGGCAGCGGGCCGCTGCAGCTTATGCTCCTCCCTAGCTGTATGCATGCATGCATGCACCATATCGTTCCCTCATCTTGGCTTGTTCGCACAGCGGGGTACCTACGTATATGTACATGCATACCACCGAGACAACAGACATCCCAATGACACTATTACAATCGACTGATGAATTGGCAGCTGATCGTGCGCGCTCTCACAAGCCTCTTTCTTGATCCATCACTTGGGACACACGGAGGCAAGGCGCGCCCCTCCCCATTCAAGCTCCCAACAAGCATGTACAGCGCGCACCTCGATGTCGAGTCACTCAAAAAGGAGTCACACCAATGTTGAGCGCAGATGCGCATCCACGACTTGTTCGAGACTCACGACAGTGCGCTGCAGCGCGCGAACGCTTAAGTGTACCGTGGGGGTATAGGTTGGAGTTGCAGGAATCATCGTAGGTCATTCGCGTGCTTACGCTGCTGCATCGCTCTCGCAACAGTGCCTACGGCCGCTAATGACAATGCCGAGACTCACGAACAAGCTCAAGGGAGATTGAGGTGGTGAGAAGTCCTCGTGTTCATTTGCAGTGCGGCCGGGAAAGAGTGAAGACGTTGATACACAGAAAATCGGGTGGCAGTCAAAGGATAACAGCGCTTGGCTAGCCGCTCTGAACTCGGACGCGCTAGAGCAGAGCGATCGGGAGCACGATGGCGGCGTAGCGACGGCCCGTCCTTGGTGGCGCAGCGGAGCTTGCAGCAATCAAGTCGTGGAATTGGCAGATGCACCAAGATGCACATCCACGCTGTGAGCCAATCGCGACATTTGGCGAGTCACGCTTCCTATACGCAGGCTCTCTTGCGGCCTTGGTCCTTGGTCCAAAAGTTCTTGAGGTTTCCAAGGGGCAGGCGCAACGGCGCTCCGCCATGAGAGAGCAAGAGGGCAGCGACCATGTACCAACTGAGCATGCAGATGATGAAGCCAAAACACCCAGCTGCTGTCGCCATATTCTCAGTGGTTGCCTGGGATAGCGAGCTGAGGAAGAGGATGGAGAGGCAAAGGAAGAAGGGCACTAGAAAGGTGCAGATGCTGCAGAACACGATGTTGGTGCGAAGAGTGGCCACGGCAAAGATGACGCACAAAAGAGTGTAGGTCATCTGGGCAAGTATCGGATCGACGACAGTCAGGATGGGTCCGTCAATTCACGAGATGCGCGTATCCTCGACACGTTGCTCACCTGCCAGAGGCCCAGAGCTTGATTGAGCTGGACAGCACCTGGTTGTCCAGCGAGCGTCTGTCTTGACGCTGTCATGATCACACCAAAGTCGGCACGGTAGATGGCAGAGAGACCGAACCAGTACGTCGCAAAGGCGCCGAAGAAGGCAAAGGCGATGGAATCACCTCGAAGGATCTCCAGCACGGCTGTCAGGGCCATCATACCGCCTCCCCCGAAGAGAAAGACGCCTAGATCGCCCCAGAGAGTGGTCAAGCTGGAGACGCCAAGTCCGACGAGGCCAAAGGACATGATGCTGAGACAGACAGCAAAAGAGAGGAAGCCCAGGGCTGTTGGGGCTCCCAGCTTTGATTGCTGTGCTGGTCGTTGTACAACCGCTGCAACGGTGCGCAGATCTCGAAGACGACCGTGTGGCGAGCTGGGCAGATTCAAACCGTCGTCCTTGCCCGTCAAATGTGCGTCGACGAGTGTCTCGCTGGTCGAGCCGCGAGACTCTGCCATTGTGATCTGCTTTTGAGGACTTTTGCTAAGTGTTGAGTGAGTGCTTGTAGCCTGTGGGGAGCAGGTAATTGCCGAACTGTGCTAGCAGTCGACAGACGTGGACGCGAGGCAAGGGCTGAGATACAAAGACGTGGCAGAAAATGCGTAGTGTGCTCTGTGAGATGAAGGAGCGCATCGCGAAAGGAGGGAGTCCATCGTGAGCTGCCCTTTTTGTACTCGTAGACAAACCAAAGAATCGCCTCATTTCCTTTGGCCCTGGGTAAATTGCGCGTGCGGGTAGTGACCCCCGTGCAAGATTACTGCCCTCGTTCTCCACCTTTTTGGCCCCCACATTCAGACTGATGCACCGCTCGTTCCATCGACCGCTGCGCACCGGTATATGTCACGCGCGCGCCAGCACGGGGCACTTGACGCCCGCACGCCACCCTGCCACCTTGCCACGGCGCCGCCGCCGCCGCCGCCGCCTTCGCCTTCATCCTCCTCTTCTGCTATCTTGCATCAGCGCGCAAGAGGCTGATTGCTGGCATCACCAAGCATGGTGGCGAGGCCTGCAGCTCACGATTCTCCTCTAGCGTATACTACGTGCGCCACGATTGCATGGGTGAAATTGAGACCGAGCTCCGGCACCCAGCGATGGGAATGCCATAGCTCGCCACGCGCCTCTTGGCTATGGCCAAGCATATCCTCGTAAGTGTTATGCCGGTGCCTGGACACCTTCCTACAAGCCGCCACGGGCGCGCATGAAATGACGCTGATGTCAGAGACGTACTGTTTCGCAACCGTAGATGCGGTCCGTATTAGTGAGCAAGAATGGTGGAATAGCCAAGGGTTGGCGCTCCCCAGGGAGGTCACGTCACATGCCAAGCCAGCCTAGTGCAAGCTGCGTGTTTAGCAGGTAGCGCACAAAGCCCCAAATGGCGACCGTGCTCGGCATAGCATCCAGGTCAACGGTCTCATCTTCACAAAAAAGCTCCGTCACCTTGGCAGAAACCTTATCAGCAGAGAGACCGCTTCGCATACTTGCAGGCGCCTGTATGCGTACATCCATAGCATTGCCGCACCTTGATCCTTGTCTAATGAGAGGCCGGACCGCCAACAGATTGAGGCACTTCTTTGTAAAGCGCTGGCTGAACCGTGACGTGTCTCGAGATGGCCGTTCATTCGACGTGCAGCTCGACGGGGATGTTACCACGGGTTGCCTTGGAGTATCTATGAGAACCCGGTTCAGCCAAGGTAGAGAGACCACCAGATGTCAGCGCTTGCTTGCCTCGTGAACGGTAGTCACGGGCTTGCTTCGGTGAGGTGGGAGGCCGCCAAATCACGCCTTGCATCGCCTCGCGGGAACCCTCGCGCCGGACGCCCAAGGCGCTTTTGATAGTTAAGGTTGCTCTTGCTGCGGCCAAGCAAAGGAACAACATGGCCGCATGTACGCTTCAATCGGGCGTGCAAGGTTGATGACTCACGGGCAGACTTGATGAGCGCCTTCGAGAAGCTTCTCGAGCTCCGACTTGTCCGCCTTGTCGCTCTTGGCCTTGATCTGGACTGCCAGCCCGAAGCTGGTATCATCCTTTGCGATTGTCACTTGTGTAGTGATGGCAAGATCATCTGGCACGCTGAGCTTGTTGGTTCGGCCGTAAAGTTGTAGGGCGGAGAGAAAGCAGGCCGAGTAGCTAGGATCACGCAGAGAGAGGAAGGGTGGGGGTGTACGAGACAAGCTTAGCCTTCCAGTTCCCCACTTTTCGGTTTGTATGTATGCATGCCAGCGCAGCAATCTCGACTGTATGGGGATGAATCGATCGTATGTGCGCATGAGTACTCACCCAAGGGCAAACAGCTGTTCAGGGTTGTTGCCATCGCCTTGCCCGCCGAGCTCCTTGGGCATCGCCAGCTTGACGCTCGAGATACTGCCAGCACCGGCATCTACGAGCTCCGTCTTTCCGTTTCTGCCTGCGCCGCTCGCCTTTGCAGCCGTGGTGTACTTGGGATCGAGAGCTGGTGATGAAGAGGAGAATGCGCGCAGTCCAGCGCGGATGGGGCTTTGACGCACGCTGACACGAGCACCTGATGCTTTTACGGCCAGAGCGGGGCGGCTCAACAGACGAAGAGCTTGAGCAGAAGGCATGGTGGGCAGGTAAGTGGTCTGGTGTGCGGACGAAGGGAAGGAGGTTCGGACTGATACGAGCTGGGCTGCTCTGGCTTCCAGCGTAAGATGGTGGTGGTACTGTAGAGAGTCACGATTGGCGGGGTACATGCGCCGACGCTTCAAGCATGGCAGATGAGACTCACCAGCCTTGCTTCTTGCTGACCCCTTGGCTGTGTACCCTCGCACTACTACTCACTACCAACGATCTATCACTACTTGACTACTCACGACTGTCACTGTGACTGTAGGTACACCCTGAACCTTGCTACCACGCATCAATGCCAACGCGTGCAACTCAACCCGCCTACCGCGGCAGCCAGCACCACCTGCTGTTCAGCCACGCATGCATGCAAGCAAGCATGCACGCACATCATCAGCAATAAGCCAAAAGCATGCGTGCAGCAGGCATGCAAAAGACGAGCAACCAGCAAGTGGAGGTGCCACGCAGCATGGCAGCATGGCTTCCTCTTGCGCTCGCTCTCTCGCTTCGCTGGGCCCCGCCGCACAGACTCGTGATTGCTGAGGCGCGTGATCGAGTTGGGTCACGCCATCTTCGCACGCAGCAACCGCAAGTGCCGTGCACTCACGTGAATGCATACCCCACGGGTCGAAAGGATGTGAAGGTGTTCTGGCGCAACATAAAGCGCACCAAGCGACCAAGCGGATCATGTTTCACGGATTCCTACCTGGCCGAGGCCCTGAAAATGTCTTTGCTGGGAAACACAAGTCACGGCAACGCTCTTGGCTGGACACTGCCGTAGACGATTCCAATCAACATCCTGGGCACGTGCGAAGCCCGTCTGGACTGGCTCAATCACCAATCCTCTCGAGTGCAAATTGCTACCTTCTCTTCACACTCAACTCGAGACTTGGACGAATGACGCCGATCGGGAGATGTGAATTTTCTCGTAATTGCAAGAGGTTCAAGAGAAGGTAGATCGGTAGATTGTGCATGGGCTCGGGTGGCCTGGAGGTGCAGGCGGACAAAGAGCGAGTGCAGACGTGATTTTGGGACAAGCATGGTGTTACCACCTTAGGGTATGCGCTGAGCAAGCTGACAGGATACGCAGGATCAGGGCGCCTCACCATACCAAGTCTATGCGCAAAAGCGGCTCAAATCTCGAGCGGCTCGTGCGACTGAACATCATCCCTGCTCAAGCCTGCATGCGTTCCATAGTCCTCCGTGGAGTGCGTGATGGTGGGCAAATAGGTAGCATCTGCATCTGCTGCCGCAGCTGCCGCAGCAACCTGTGCACCGGAGCTTGCTCCCAGCGTGACTCTTGCGCGGGGTGCGAAGTTTTTGGCTTCGTGAGAGCCCGGTGTAGGCGGGCCTCGAGGTTGACGAATGCTTCCGCCAAATCCTCCAGAGGGTGAAGAAGCATGGCCACTGCCGTGATGTCCTCCCGAAGAAGTGGCGGGAAGGCTAGGAACAGGTGGAACGTCGAACGGAGAATTGAAAAGGTTCGCGAGACCTGCTGCTCCACCCGTACCGCTGCCAATCGTGCCTGCTTGATTCGAATGGTTTGAACGAGGTGAGCGGCCCATGGTGGCTGCGTAGCCCTCTCTCAAATTTCCATTGCTCTTGCGAGCGAGCGCCCCAACCCCAGGCGGTGCTAGACCTGCACCTTGGCCGTATCCACCACCGATACCTCCGTAGCCACTTCCATTCTCCGGATCACGCAAGCGCTTCATATCTGGAGCAGACTTCTTTGCTCGAAGGGCAGCTGCACGTCCAGTCGTAGCGGCACCGCTGGGCGAGAGCAATCCGGACGCATCGCCAAACCCACCCGCGGGAGCTCCGAGCCCACCTCTGTGCGTGCGACCGATGGTGGAAGCCTGGGATCGCAGTGGCCTATGACCCTGCGCTACCTCGTTCTTGGTGACAATTACGTATCGCTCCTCGCCTTCGCCCATGCTGTAATGATACAAGCCAAGCCTTTGCGCGACCAGGTGCACAGTCCTGCGTTCCGAAGGGCTCAAGTTGCGAGAGAAGCTGAGTTCATCTCGCATCCGGTCGTCTTTGAACAGGAGGACGCGCGAGTATATCTCGAGTGTTGCTGGATCATTTAAATCTAGCTCTTCCTTGGTTCGCGCACTGGCGCCGCCACTGCGTTCCGAAGGTGCCAAAGCGCCGGTGTCGGCGCCCAGTCCTGCAGAGGGTATTCCTCGCAAGCTATCGGCAGTGAGTGGAAGAGGCGAGACCTGACCAGCACCGCCAGCAGATGTTGGCGGATGTACTTCCGTTGTTGGGCTAGTCAAATTCGAGCCGGCACCGCCGAGGTGTGTGCTGCGACCGATGGAACCAGAAGATGGCTGGGGCAGGCCCGAGATGCCGGATGGTGCGCCGGCGTACGATTCGAAGCCTTGCGCTGGCAATCCGGGCAAGCCGTGTTGAGAGGCTTCCCGCTCGTCCCTGTGACGAGTTCGTTCTTTTTCCAATTGCATGGACTGCATCCGTTTGATCGCCTTTTCCTTTTCGATTCTTTCCTTTTCACCAGCCTGCAGCACCTTTTTGTATTCTACCCGCAGCTTGCGACCTTGCACGTCGAATCCGTTCAGAGCAGCTACGACCGCATCCGCCTCTTCTCCAGAGCGGAAATTGGCAAACGCCAGACCTCGGAACATTCCCCCGTCGAAATGGTAATTGAAGGCATACGGCATGGGGATGGCCAGGTCTTCCTGCAGAATGATTCGAAGTGCCTCGTGGCATCAGCATCGAGCCACCTCATGAGCAAGCATCATGAGGAAACTCATATGGTGGCCAAGGACGGAGGCCATTTTGCGAATGTATGCAGGACATCCTCCACAGCAATACTCACAATGATTTGGAGGAGCTGCTCTTTGGGTACGCTAAATGGGATGTTCTTGACGACGATAGCAGTCGGAATGATATCCTCCTCTACGTTGAAGCCTGGTGCGGAATTCAAGAAAGCGCTTCCGCCAGACTGAGGCGTGAGGGGCACGCCGGCTGGTGCGTTGAGCGCTGGGTCAGGTGAAGACCACTGCGCAGGGAGTCCGCTTCTTCCTGTGGAGCCCCTGCCAGCACTTTGAGAACCGAATCGGCCGCTCCCTCCTGCGCCTCCGCCCGAAAGAGAGTGACCAAATGCACCAAAAGCGCCGCTGGTATTGGAGAAGCCAGAGCCTGGTCCGGCTTGTGGGCTTGTGCTGTTTGTGGCTGGATACGTTCCTTCAGGACCTGCATTAGCAAAGAAGCGCTCGAACCTAGCGGATGCGCTCTGAGGCTCGTTGGGATTGCCGGCACCGGCAAAGCCGCTCGTCGGGGCGTAACCCTGCTGAGCTGAAGAGTGTAGGCTGCGATAAGGCGAAGCTGGTGCAGCTGAGGGCGACGCTGGATAGGCTGAGCCGGAATGAGATGCGTTGGCACCTACTGCACCTGCTTGACCCGTCTGAAGCGAGAGGTGATCGAATTGGCGGTCGAGATCCGACATGGTGGGAAGATACGCAAGCGTACAGATCTGGAGCAAGAAATAGTCGCTATGAAGCGCTTAGGAAGATGTTGCCAGACCCGAGAAGATCAAAAATCGAGGCCAGTGAGGAAGTCAAGCGGTAGTCTGAAGATGTAACCGTGCGGATGGGTCAGTGCAGAGCACTACCTGCTTTTGGTGTTCGTGGCGTTCGTCGAGGGTGTAGCGGGCAAGGCGCTGGCCAACGCCGCGCGTGAACGTTGCTTGCGAGGCGTTAGTATGGAGATGAGAAATGTTGAGCGTCGTTAGCAGAGCGATGGCGGTGGACGCAAAGCGTGGGGGAATCGGTGAGACGGCGTTAGGCGTGCAAGCTGATGTCGTATTGGCTTGCGAGATCGTGATGGCGAGCGAGTGATGGGAAACAGCGCGGACTGGATCAGCAGAGCAGCCAGTGGGGGTGCTCGCTACCGATGTCAGTAGAAGAAAAGTTGAGAGGGAAAGCCCGCCTTGTGGAGACGCGGTGCGATGCTGGTCAGGACGCAAAGGAGACGCAGCACCAAAGCGTCGCTTGGCTGAAAGTCACACCAGGTTGCCGCAAACGATGTTCTGCGTTGCGGTGCCGTGCGGTGCCCTGGGTCGTACGCGCGCAGGTCGTGGGTAATTGGCCGCGCGAACTTCAGTCAGAGTCAGTGAGAGTCACGAGTTTCAGTGCGCATGCTGCACATGTTGGTGGTGCACGCTAGCTGCTGCTACTGTACCTCTGGTCGAAGTAGTAATAGTAATGTAGAAATAATTAGTATCAGTATTAGTAACGGTAGTAGTAGTGGTGCTCCTGCTTGGGCCTGAATGCAGCCAGCATGCACCACCTTCTGGCGGTTACAGACACTTACAAGGGCAAACCGTACACCGTAGCTGATGTGTACGTGCTCGTGACTGCTGAGAATGTGCCTGCAGCAGCAAAGAGCGTCCCACGCTGAGGCCAGCAGCTTAGCACTCTTAAAGCTAGGCGAGGCGGGCAGGCAGGCAGGCAGGCAGGCATGCAGGCAGCAGGAGGCCTATACACCTGATGTGCCACGTACGCGATGATCTGCTGTAGCCTGTACCCTGCCCTGGCGCAAGGGCGCGCCTATACACGCGTGCGTACCGCGGCATACTGTATACCTGTTAAATGTGAATGTGCGCGCTGGCTCCTGCATGCGCCCACTGCAGCAGTCGAGTGAGTACTGAGGTGACCCTGCCATGGCCTATACGTTCGCCCCTGGCGGCCCGGTCAGCAACAGCGGCAACAACGGCAACATCAGCACGATCCATCATCATCCGCACCAGGCACGCATCGGTGCGCCTACCGCTGCTTGGACTCGCGAAAGGCGCGTGTGTCATGCTCACTGCGTAAAGTCTCAGCTGGTGCCGAGTCCAAGCGAGCACAAGCGTCCCACCTCTGACAGCAAAGCTGAGCTGTGCTGAATGACTATGGTCACGAGTGACGAGTCACGTGAGTGCAAGAGTGACTGGGGATATTCTTGATTCACGATTGTATTCAGATTGATCGTGATGTCAGATGTATGATGGGTGTCAGACAGTCGCGAGGGCGTGTTGTGTTTCATGAGCGCCATTTGGTGAGTGATTCATCAATATTTCACAAACACGATCGATCATTCCATCGCGCACACCGCGATGCCGTACATATATGTGCCAGCTGAAGTAGCAGCACGATGACCAAAGCTCCAAATCGCGCTCGAGACGCGGACGGGGCGTATCGTCCCGCGTCGTCCACGCATCCTACAATTCCATAGATCACAAACATTCTTGAGACCGTCAACGAGGGCCCCATCAAGCACGCATGTGGGCAAGACTTCGTGGCGACAAAAATTGCGTCGTGACATATTGCATGTGAAATTGACACACTCTCGGGAAGGTCTGGGCAGTCTTGTATGGAAGAGAAGTTTACAAACTCTTTGGGAAAGCCAAAGGGGCCCCAACTTGGAAAGGGACGGAGCGCGAGACCAATATGAAAGAAATGCGATGAGGAAAGAAGGACCAGAGCTTTCTGACGAATGAGACAGATGAGAGCCGCAAAAAGTAATGAACGGGACGATGTGGCATTCGAGAAGCACACGAAGCGAAGCAACGAGCGAATGAGCGCGTGGCAGATTGTATCAGAGGGGCGGACGCGGGGTCACATGGAAGCCGCAGGCGGCGGTCTGATACCGTCGGGGCCTGTCGGCATAAAGGGCGTACCAGCGCCATCCAGATTGTTGAAGGCGACCGAGTTGCCCCACCAGTTCAGGGCCACCTCGCCATTCCTGGGCAGCGAGAGGACAAAGAATTGGAGGATGAACGACGTCACAGTGCCAAAGTCCATCGCTGCGCTGGTGACAAAGTTGTACTTTGACCACCACCTAAAGTTGAACTTGCGAATGACGTATTGAAAGATGAAACCTGTGAGGAACCAGCTGGTATAGTTGATGCCGGTGCAAGGCGGAATGAACGCGATGCCGTTGAAAAAGATCGGCGTAGAAATGAATTTGATGATAGATCTTGGGAAGCGCCGAGCCAAAAACCAAATTGGGATGGGCACGATGGCTCCGACCAACAGGCCCCAGTAAACACTGCCGTACAGCGACTCTTTGCCAAACAAGTGCGTAGGACCAATGGCGCCCCAAATGACCGACGAGTTGAAGAAGACGTCTGCATTGGGGCAATCGAAGCGCTGTGGTTGGTCGTCTGAGCAGATTCGGTCCACTTGGCTGAACATGAATTGCTTGACAGCCCATTGCACAATGGCAGTCCAAGCAACGGCAATGAATTGCATGGTGAATGTGTAGCGCGGGTTGATCTTCATGTAGTGTCCGACCTTGAGATCTTGCACGAAGTTGAGCGTGCTGGCCATCGTTTGAACGGCGTAGACTTTGAAGATCATGTTCGGAATCGCCCTGCCTGGCATGACATAACCTGCCACAACCTCGCCAATAAGATTGGTAAGAGGTAGCGTACCAGTCATGGCATAAATGAAGCCAGATGGCAAGGTGTAGACCACCGAAACGGCGATGGCGAGTACCAGTGCCCAAACAGGCATACCCGTGCTGAAGACCTCGACGACAACGATGGCGAGACCAAAGGTGACGACCAAAGAGGCCAAGTACCACCACATCGGAACGGTAGGATAACGACGCATGAACTTGGCGTGTATGTCATCCTCTTCGGTCTTGATTTGACGGGCTCCCTTCCACAGGGCGTCACCGTGGTAGAGAGCAGTGTGGACCAGGACGGATGTGTTGGTAGCGAAACCGCTCCAGTACGCCATGAACAGCGAGACGGGAAGGTACAGCGCGGAGTATTGCGCATACTGCTCAAGGTTGAGCCTCGAGTCGGCGCCGAGCACCCGCTTGACGTCGTAAGGCTGTGCGAAGCGGTCAAAGCTGCGTCCGCTGATGAATGGAAGGTGCGCAAAGTTCCAGACATTCTTGTAGTAAAGGATAGGCGCAACGATCCAGTAGAAAGCCAGAAACCCAGCGAAGATGTTGCATTCCGCCCACCACGGTGCAACTAGAGGTGATCCAATGTAACTGATCTGCGACCAGTCGAAAGTCAAGACTGACAGGCCCATGCCACCGACGGTGCCAAACAATGTGTTGATGAGGTGATTGTCTGCGAGAGAGCGAGGCCGGTATTAGTCTGCAGGTCCCTCACTCGAGATGCTTCCTTTCCAAAAGTACTCACTCGGCACAATCCAACACACCCAATTGAAGTAGTTTAGCGCCGTGAAGAGGAAATTGGTCACAAAGTACCAGACGAACGCGCCAAGCGACAGGAAGCTAAACCATCTGAACCGCGTGATGCTACCATCCATTCCGTCGTCTTCGGCATGAAGCGTATTGAGCACAGTAGCGGTGACCAGATTCTGGGGCCAGATCATGCTAGCAGGCGTCACCAAGAAGGGGATGCAAAGGCCAGAGAAACTAAAGCCTAGCAGCTGGCTGGTGAGCATGTAAAGGATGCCAAATCCTTTGCTGGTTGGCTCGCCGTAGAACTTGTCAGAGTCCAAAACTAGGAGAGTGTTGAATCCGTATGCCTGGCTGATTGCAACGTTGGCAGTCAAGGTGATGAGGGCGTGCTCTTTGATGTTGAAAGCGCCAGGATTGAGGCTGAAGGTGCCACCGCCTAGCCACCTTGGCAATCTCCACTCGGTGATGGGCAGCACATACGCCATACATTTGCCTATTGGGTATGCCACCAGCTGGATGATGATTGGAGTGATTGCGGGCGACGGGTAGCGCAGATTGAAAAGAATGTTAGCTGCAGAAGCAATCGTGACAAGGATCATTGCGATCAAGAACATCCTGAAGGTGAACGCCGGCATGTCGGGATCGTCAATGTTGGAAACCGAGGCGCGAACTTCTGGGTAAGGCGAATCTTCCTCCATATCCATCTCAAGCTCGACCATACGCATTCCCATGGGACCCATCTGGGCGTTGCCGTTCGACGTATGCGCCAGTCCCTCGCCGCCGCCGAGGCGCTCTTCGTACCCCAGCTTGGACGAGAGGTCGGCATCAGTGTCACCAAAGTCGTAGCTTGTGCCCAGATTGAATTTGACATCGCTGTCGGGACTTCGACCTGCATCCGCATGGACGCTAAGTCGGTTGTTGCGCTGTCGCATGCTGCCGTGGCCGACCGCAGAAGCGTTTGCAGCGGCAGGGTCAATGGTTCCCAGACCGCTCGTGCGCCGGGATTGGCTCACCGGGATGTGACTGTCGACCATCGTACCGCCGCTTGCGGTCGTGCCGTAGTCGCGAGCACCGTGCCGTGATGATAGGCCTTCTCGACTTGTGGGTAAGTAGTCCACTTCGTCGAGTACATCCATTTGAGGTAGGGCGTGCACTGACCTAGCGTGACTCAGCGCCGGGCCCACATCCCTGCTGACGCTCGAAGCATTCGATGATGCGCGATCCATCGACACTCGCGGATCGGCGAGGTAAGCGGCGCGACGTGTGCCAGAGTCGTAAATGGGAGAGTCGAAGGAGTTGCCTCGGCCTGGCAAAGGAATGGCGCTCCTCACCTCCTCCAACCCGACGGGCTCGCCAATCGCCTCGGCTTCATGCTCCACCATACCTATGGCGACCGAGTCGTCGCCCATGTGAGCATCGGCAGAGCGAGAAGACTCGGTAGCGTTGCCCTGCGCAGTCTCTTGCACATTCTCGCGCAGCGCAGCAGGATCAAAGCCGGGCGGCATCTCTACCAGATTCCCCTGCGCGTCGTAGACGGCTCCAGTGACTTCATCAAAGTAGAAAGTCTCTTCTTCATCTTCTTCTTGAGACGCTTGCGCTTTTCGAGTGAGATCAAGATCAGTAGCAGCGATGCTGAGAGCGTTAGGATCGCTAGCCTGCCTTGACGCATCGTTTGGCGTTGGCGGCATCTCTGGCATAGCCGACGCATTCACGCTTGCGCCTGAAGCGTCGCCAATCTGAATGGTTGGCGCTGATTGGCCAATGTCGGCTGAAAGGCGAAGGACAATAGCAGCGAATGTAAGCTTTGCTCGATTGCGTTGAGGATACTGAGCAAGGTCAATGCGAGCTTGATGCACTCACGAGGCACGAATGCGAACACGTCGCCATCGTCCTCGCTCTCATACTCATCCTCGTCCCACTCGTCCAAGTAGCCGTCCTGATCTCCCGCAGCGTTGTTGAGACCGCCCACGCCCCGTGTCAGAGGTCTTTGACCAGATGCAGTGCCTGTCCTTGCCGTTCTTGGTCTGCCTGTGGTGGGCCTTCCGCTGCTCGTGCCTGCTCGTCTTCCGCTGCTCGTCCCCTGCCTATCGGAATCACCATCACGCGCAAAGCCGTTCATCGTGAGTGGAGCTCAGCAGCCAGTGTCAGCGGCAAAGGGCTGACGAAGCTGTTGCACAATTTGCTTCGCGGTGACTGAGCGCGCGAAGCAGAATGAAAGCCTGGCAGAGTTGCTGCGCAAAGGGCAGCGTCAAAAGATGATGACGCCAGCTTCGATGGTTGGATAGCGTGAAAGAGTGCGAGTGCGTGGCTGTATGTAGGCTTGAGCGGATGCTGGTGGGCTGAGGATGGAGAGAGGCAAGGGAGAAGGGGGCGCTTACGGATGGAGAGGCGGCAACCAGATGGGGAAATCAGCCGAATGGTACGATTGTGATGGCGGGCGAAAGGCGACTGATGCGTGCCTTGTGCGGGCGGCAGTGGCCACAGGCTTTGTTGCGGCGATAGGACAGTGTGATGCATGATCATGCATGAGCCTGCTGCACTGACATGCAAACGAGGCAATCTGGGCAGGTACGCGCGAACCCGGGCTGCTGGCCCCAAGCAGCAGCTACAGCAGCAGCAGCAGCAGCAGCAGCAGCAGCAGCAGAAGTTCGATTGGCGCGGCTGCACGGCTGCACGGCAAAGCAAGGTTTGCTTCGTCATGCGCATGCAGCATCCACAAAAGTCTCGGGCTCCTTCAAGTTTAAATTGTGCCTTTCCAGGTCATTTAATTGCTGACCTCTCGATGAGACCGGTGGAGTCTTCGAGTGCCTAGCTCATACTTGGCACAACAGTCACGAGTGTTCAATGACGCTGTCGGCGAAGGCATGAGCGGATGTCTGGCCCTCCAGCAACACACAAGCTGTACAAATTTACCTCCACGAAAAGCAAAGGGCTAGCTATGGGAGGTCGGGCGGGCGAGGATCGATTGTGATTCACGATTGGTGATTCACATTCTGATTGTGATCAAACCACCCACACCCACGTTTATAAGCAGTGATATGGATACGCGCGAATCACGAATGTGATGAGGCGGATGGAATGGCAGCAGAGCAGCATGCCCCGCACGCCTCGTAGGCAACAATCAAGTCTCGATCGAGGTCCTGTATGCCACCTTGCCAACCTCGAACTCTTCATCATGCTGGTTGCAGCCGAGGCTCGTGCTGACTCTCCATACGAAGCTGATCACAGCGCACGCGCTAACTGCTGCTGGATGATCCGATTTAATAAGACTCGTTAGCGTCCTAGCTTGCATGTGTACCGTACAGGTGGCCTGGATGGCTGCGTTCTCGTCACATGCCCCGGCGATGCATGGGCAGCAATGCACACCGGGCTACAAGGTGCATGAGCGGGGTGGCCTACATATATAGAATCAAATTCATCAGGCTTAGGCTGGACTCTTGACCGCTTGCTGCATGGTACAACATCTGTACGCACTGGGCGCACCAACGCGGTGACAAGGAATGTGAGTGTGAGTATTGCGCGTCTGCTGCCTATGCTGCCCACGCCCACGCCAATCGTGACTCAAGGCTGACCTCAACAAATGCTCGCATCAAGGTCCCACGAGCTGCCGTGCATCATCGAGTGCGTGGTGGACCGTCAGAGTCGGCCCTGATGCATGTGAGTCACTCGATCACGATCCTGAAGGGGGGCTATACGAAGCAAGCTGCGCTCATCATCTCTCACAGCAGATGCAGCTCTCTATATATATATAAGCTGCGCCCGTGGCAAGCAGGGCAAGGGGCGGACTCAAACTCTCTCATGCTACTCTCACGAGTAGTCTGCTCACCTTGTTGGTCATTCGTGATGTTCATGCTCCAGGGGGCCATACGCAGCCGCGGAGTCCCAAAAAGTCAAGCCCTGCGCGGCTGGCAACCAAGGTCGTATGCAGGGCAAGCTTTGACGCATGAAACTCCGCTTGCTGATCGAGTGAGGCACGAATTCACGATTGAAGCAGCACACAGATGGCAGCTTGAGCTGTGCTTTGAATGTCATGCGGCTAGGAACGCGAGCAGCGTGGCGAGAGAAGTGCAGTCAAGAGAGTGTATAGAGAGTATTAGAGTACGGCCGCTGCCCGTCTTGATCCACACATCCTTATCTCTTATTCTGATCTACCTTTAAGCTCAACAGGCAGGCGCTCAGGTGGGAAGCGGAATCGATTTTTAATTCTAACGAGAGTATCAGTCGCAAATGTGCCGCTAAGACACGTCGAGACAAGGCACAGACACGATTCGTGCGGACTTAACGACGCCCTACCTCCCCTCCGCCACCCCAGATTGCCAAGGGAAACTTCAGAGAGCCGTAAATCTGGGCGTGCTTTTCGTCCGACTTGTCAGGTGCTGGTGCTTCAGAGCCTGGCTTGGTCTGCGAAGCTTTGGTTGTGGGGTCAACATTGGGGTCCTGAGAAGCTGGTGTGGTGCGTTGCGGCTGCACTTTTGCCTTTTTCTTCGTCCCTGCACTGGGGGCGGGGGATCGCTTGGCGAAGACGGTCCAGGAGGTGGTGGTAATGTGGGTGTTGGAATCATCTGTACTAGTTGACACTTCTATCAGCGTGCTGAAGGTCAAGCGACGATACAGCTCGTATGCGGCTCCACAGCAGCCCCACGATGGCCGCGTCTTTGGCTTCTCTGCTCGCTTCTGTTTAGTATGGCCCAGAGTCTGAGATGGGAGCGGATCAAGATCGCGGCGGCTGGTCTTGGTCGACCCCTCATCATCGACACTCTGTCGACGGTGGTGTTCCCAGCCGCCGCCTGTTGTTACAATCCCAAAAAGTTTGAATGGACGATGCACATTGCCAGTGGTTGCAGGACGGGCAGTCGGAGCGCTTTCTGCAGCGTGAGACCTGCGTTGATACTCCGTTATGTCGAGGTCCTTGGAACTAAGCGGCATCTTGCGGATCTCAAACCGGCGGGCGAGGTTCATTTCTTCGACCGAAGAGGAACGACGATGGTGTTCGCCGCCGTCTCCGGGGGTCCCTATGGGTCTCACCAGGCCAAAAAATTTGAGCCGCGGGGATACGTTGCGAGTTATCGAGCGGCTAGCGAAATCGGGTTCTTCCCGCGTCAGTGCCGACCGACGATGGTGCTCGTTTGAACCAACAGATGGTGCAACAACCCATGCCGCTATATGGTCATTCACAGGATGCTCGGGGGCCTTGGCGCGTGCTATGAGGGAAGACTCTTTGGCGTCTTGGCTCGTTACTTGGTCTCGAGCCTTTTGTTCGAGTCGCGGCGACCAAGTATCACGTTCGATGGCTGATTCAACAGCTGGTTGTGTAGCGCGGGCTGACAAATCGTGTGTGCGAGCCTCGAAGCTTGATTGGGCAATTGTGCGGCGTCCATGTTCGCTGCCCCCGACGGGCGGAATAAAGGCGAAGTCTCCGGCGGCTCGCTCCTGTTGCTTCCGGATCTCAAGATTCCCAGCAATCGAAGTTGGCTCGGAGTCTGACCTGGAAGTGTGATCCGCCACCGGTACTGAGCGGGCATCGAGCGTCTTGGAGTTGTGGGAGATCGTCGACTGATGAGCTGGTTCGGCTCGCGCGAGGATGACAACGGGCACGAGCAGAGCGCATCGAGTCAAAATGGCCAGATGCATTGTGCTGAGTGACAGTGCCCTTCGGAGCCCGAGGTCTGGCTATGAGAGACACACCAGCCCTTCGCAAAGAAACTGGACTGGAAGTTCTGACGCAGGTGCCTCTGAAGATTGGGACAAGTGAGAGGTGTCGGGGCAGAAATTGAGTACGAAAAGTCTTAGGACTACTTTGGAAACCAGCTACTGAAACTGCGTAGTAAAGAGCGTAACGGACAAGGACGGCGATGGGAGAAATTATTCGCGCACGTTGATCGGGCGCGGTACGATTATGTACTTTGAGGCGCAGCGGAGACAAAACTTGTTTGGGAGGTGCGAGATCTGGTGTGGAAGGATGTGCTGATGCAAAAAGGTATGCGCCATGAACAAAACAGTCAAGTTGCTTGTGCACTTTGCCTCTCGCATGCCGAGAGGTAGACGAAGAACGAGATCCTCGGTGTGGATGCAGCGAAGTGGACCGTGATACACGACTAAGCGCAGTCGCAGTGCGCCTTCCACCTGGGTCGCAGTCCAGATTGGGACTGCTGCTCTGATTGCATGAGGTGTCTCCGCGGCTCTGCCATTCCCACACTCCCGTCTTGATGCGCAGTCTCAGTGATGCCGGCCGCAAGCGGCCAGGGATTGCTGGCTGTAGCCCTTGGAACGCAAGGTGCGATCGCAGTGACCGATGTAACGACGATCCTGAGCTGGCTCGAGCGAAGTGACCTGAGTCTGCGGGGAATGCCATTCAGCAGTCAATTCGTGCCTAGACGTGCGACACCCTGTAGCAGTGCAGCCCAACTTTACGCTTGTCTGCGTTGGACGCGCTAAGACAAACCGCGCAGTGCGACCAGCGAGCATCCGCGGACGGAGGAGATGAGTGACGCTGGTGGGCACAGACGACGACGCTGCCAAAGAGCTTGGGCGCGCATACATGCTTACTTCAGGGTGAGTTTGCGTTGCCAAAGGCGATGGTAAACCCTGCGTTGGCCGGTCATTCTTTGCAGACCTCCCATAGAGGTACCGTGGAAGGAAGCCATAACACTGGTCGTGGCGGCACGAGTAGGGAACGCGGTCTAGTTTCGTGCGAGACAGCACGTCTGAACTTGAAAATGATGGATGTCCTCCGCACCGTAGGCAGTGGTTGGCAGCTCACACATACTTCTATAGATGACATCCGTGCACTGACTTTCAGGCACCGCGCAACGTTATAACGTCTCTCTAAACCACGCCGAGGAGAGCAATGCGGAGGAGGTACGCCCGCATCCATCCGCCAGTCGGTGAGGCCAGGTGTTAGTTGTGCAACACCGAGCTTGTGTTCTCCATGTTGGGCACTAGCTGCTGGCAAAGCAAGTCTTGCACTCGTGACTCGTCACTTGCATGCACCGAGCACTTACACGTCCTCCACCCAGATAAAAGTCAAAGTTCTTCCTCCTGCACTTTCGTCAGCCGTGCATTCAAAGAGCCGGACTTCATTGGACTCACCACCGCTAAGATTGGCTGCTGTGTGAGTGTGAAGCGATCCTCCTGCAGACAGCCGTGAGTCTGACCCGAGCGAAGACGGAGCTCCGTATCAGACCTAACTTTCCTCCCCGAACAACACCCTACCCAAACCGCTCCCGCAGTAGCGCACGCAAAACTCAAAGGGCTCATGACTCAACTCAAGACAAGACTCTTGACTGGCGGATATGACGCGAATTCGAGCCGCGGAGGCGTAGGTTGTGCCCACGTGATCTGCTCCACCTTACGGCCGAACCCGCTCCCCATGCAAAATCGGATCGATCGATCGATCGCGCTGAAATCGGACGAATTGTATTCATCCGGAACACTTCAAATTGTGAACAGGCAGACTAAAGGGTATTCACTGATTCAAAGCTGCAATTTCTTAGTAATCGTGAATGGCAAGAATCACGAATCACGTGAATAAAAAATGTTGAATCAGCATATACACCTCATTCAAATTGTGACTCTTTGAGTGTGGTGCCGATCAGCGCCCCACGATCATCTTTCCGACCCAAGTCTCACGACCACGACATTGCCAAGGAATCTGTCCTGCCGGCCCTGGTCATTCTCGATTTTGCATTGCGTCCACAGCAAACACACGATATCTTCTTGGGCTGTACATCTGCACGCCGCAGCTGCACATCCTTGGCGCGACCGATCCACTGTAGCAAGCACTACATTGCTGCCCATAGAACGACTACCGCTATCCTCGCAATCGCATACAAGCACTTCGCATACCGTCATCGTAGCACAACTCGCCGCGGCGATACCTCCGACGCTCACTACTCTTTACCATCCTTCTCGCAATCCCTGCAGCCATCTCCTCAAAGCATGCAAGCCCGCGTACCTGGCGCCGAGATGAAACAGCCAGATGCAGCATCTGCCCTCGCTCACACCTCTCACCAGGCGCGCTTGCACGTCGATGGTCAGGCTGGGAGCTCCTTGCGAGAAGCGGTCTCGCCTTCATCGCTCGACTCGCTTTCCCTCAAAAGCAGCCAAGATGCATGCGAGGAGGGCTTTGATGATGGGTGGCGCGACATTCCAGCCAACCATTTCCTAGCCCAACAAGGTCGCAAGGCCTCCCGCTTCTCTCCGCCACGCACCACAGCGTCGTGCAGCAACAGCTCCCCAGACGCTGGCGCATTCCATCAGCCGCTTGCTGAGCTAGCTGCTGTGCTGCCAGATGGCCTCCGTCCGCAAGGTCCAAATCCTTTGCCTGCTCAGAACACGCACGAAGGCTTAGCGGCTGTGGCGCACGAGACCGGCATGCCGGACACTTCAACTCTTGCCGCAGCAGACTTCGACATAGACGTCAGATCCGGCTTTTTGCCACCCGAGGCACCTCTCTCGCACCTCTCGGGTGTATACGAAGAGTGGGAGTCCAAGCTAGAGGGAGCGGCACACGCGGGCCTCAGTCTCTATGGCGGCGGTCCGACAACCAACTTTCATCGCCGTGCGAGCGCAAGGAGGTGGAGGAGGTCAATTCGTGAAATGCCAATCTTGCCTCTCCAGGGAGTGGTGCTGGCCGACATTCGACACGCAAGGCGCGCTCATCTCGTCCTCTCCTTCCTCGCGCACTTTTATTTGCACAGTCAGCCAGAGCCGACGGAGGACTTTCTCGCACCACTTGCGCAAGGCTGGAACGAGGCAACGAAGGGCAAGGGAAAGGGCAGGGAGCACGACGTCTCTCTAGAAGCCGCAGATGACGCGGCAGACGCAGCACAAGAGGCTGCTGGCATCTACGCCGCCACAGTCCCCGCTTCCCTTGCAGTACCATGGACAGGCTTGTCGCGCCATCTGGACTTGCCGCCCATTCTGACTTATGCGACAACAGTGCTTTGGAACTGGCAGTACAAGGATCCTGCGCGTGGCCTCGCCCTTGACAATGTCAAAATTCGCAATACGTTCAGCGGCACCGCGTCAGAAGAGCACTTCTATCTCATCTCGCTGCTCATTGAGCTGCGCGGGGTTGAAGCTTTGGAACTGATGCGCATATCTCTCGACGAAGCATTCGTTGCCGATCATCTCGCTCGACGACGTATCGCGCACTACCTCCGTCGGCTTGTCGACGTTGTCCATGACCTCACGACCCTTCTCGCCAAGATGAAAGAAGCCTGCGATCCCGTCACCTTTTACTGGGGCATCCGACCCTGGTTTAGAGGGGGAGATTCTGCACCCCGTGGAGGTCAAGGGTGGATCTACGAAGGCGTGGATGAGCCGGGTGAGAAAAGGCTGCTCAACGGACCGAGCGCAGGTCAGTCCTCTCTCATCCACGCCCTCGACGTCTTCCTCGACGTCGACCACACACGTCTCAAGCCTCGCGTAGCTGCGCACAGCGCCAGACAACAGTCTGACGTGGCGCACGCATTGAGTGAAAGGGACGCTGGCATAAAAGAAAACGCAACCTTTATGGAGAAGATGCAGATGTACATGCCTGGACCTCACCGCGCATTCCTGACGCACCTCCGCAATCTCTCGTTCGACGATGACCATGAGACTTCCTGCCGCGTGAATGGGCTTGATGGGGTCTCACGGTCGACGAGCCCGCCAAGCGACAGCGCTTCATCGTCATCGGACGATATGGGTATGGACACCGTGCCACCGCCTCCGTCGCACCCCATCCGTTCTTTGGCGATTGCTAAGGAGGTCTCCGGCAAGCCGTTTCAAGACGATCTCGCAAGCGCGTACGACGCTGCTCTGATCTCGTTGAGGGTTCTACGGGACGAGCATATGCGCATCGCAGCGCTTTACATTATCAGCCAAGCCCGCAAACAGCCCCCGCCGGAGTATGCTCCTTTGCCAAAAAATTTCACGGGGGCCGTAGAGGTCGAAAGGGTCGCCGGCGCGCAGCAGAGCGACGCCAAGGAAGCCTCCGGCGTACCCAAGGGCACGGGAGGCACGGATCTCGTCTCATTCCTGAAGGCTTGCCGCTCCAACACCACGGACGCTCTCCTCGGCTCTCTACGATAGGCTGATCCACCGAATCCAAAATTCGCATCTCGCGCGTTTGGTTCTCGAATTGTACATGTACCGATACCGCAGGGTCAATGACAGCTTGTCGGCACGCACGCCGCGAAACTGCGCAGAGAGCACCGTCGAGCAGAGTCCGGATTGCCTTCAGTGTTCGTGAAGTGCCGCCATTGCTGAGAGCTGCCGCCATACCTGACTTTGGCGGTGCGATCTCAGCTCATTGAGCGTCTTTACAGGAATGCTACACCACTTGTCGAGGAGAGGCGCGAGCGCGACAGGCATGACAGCGCTGCACGTTGTCGATCTCGGCCTGCGCGATTGCTTGGCGAGCTGCGGGAGCGCACCAATCGCTTTGAAAGCCACTCGTAGCCGTCAGCCGGCAAGCTTTCGGCGGCGAGGATTTGCATCGTCTCTAGCTTCCGTGTCAATCAGACCAGGCAGGCCCCCTTCGAAACGAGCTGAGCTGGGCCGGAAAAAACAAAAAAAGGAAAAAAAAAGAGAGAGAGAAATTCAGTTGATCAAATTCGAATTTTTGGTCGACGGGCGAGCCTCCATAGCGGCGACATGGCGACGACTCGAGCCGCCGAGCGCTCGAGGAGCAAGCAAGATTCATGCAAAGAACGAGGGCGACTCGATGGACCCTCGATGAGAAGGTACGCACGCGCAGGCATCCCTTGCAGAATTATGCAGCAGAGATCGACACGGATCGACGAAGTGCGAAGAAAGTCGCAGCCGCTGCTGCTGCTGCTGCTGCTGCTGCTGCTGAAGCTGCAAGAGCGCGGTTGGTGGCTGTGCTCGCTGCTGCTCGCGCGAGCTGTACTGTGTGCTCGACCGTGTCTTGCGCGCGCATGCGCATATAAAGTGGTTCGATCGACTCGATGCGGCCTGGGTTCGACGCGACTTGCATGTCTCTGATGTGTTGCTTGCTGGCTCGCTCAAAACCCACGTCGGACCTCGATCCCATTAAAATTTTGCTCGGCTCGACTCGACTCGGCATTCACGATTGCCCGGCGCGAAAGCCGCGTGAATGTAAGATCCTCAGGGCGTGGAGGCTCCTGCATTGAGACAGCCTGCGTTCACGATGCTGATTGGGATCATGCTGCAGGGCCCACAGCAGGAAAGTCTCCTCTCTAGAGCAGAGGCCAGACGTTCATAAAGAGCGTTCGAGCTCTCGCCACGCTGTTGATTGCCACCACCACCATCACCTTATACCACACTGACACCATAGATACCCCTGTGCCCCGCCACGACCCATTAAATCCTCAGTGCTCCTATCCGATGCCAATCGCCAAAATGCAGTTCAGGAGTGCTTGCGTCACCGCGGCCTTGCTCGCCACGTGTTTGACCTCGCCAGTCTCAGCTCAGAACAACTCAGCCGCTGCCACGAGCAATGTGCTCAACTCTACCGAGGTCAACACCGAGCTCGCCTCTGTGCTGCTCCAATTCCGAGCGGCCGGCATTGTTCCACAATCCATCCCAGAGGAAAGATTTCAGCTGTCCAGCATTCTGAGCTTAAAGTACCCCGACACGGGCGATGTGGCTCTCGGCGCAACGACTACGAGAAACGCGACACTGCAGGAGCCTTCCTGGACGCTGAACTACACCGAGGCTGTGGACGATGCTGATCCGTTTGCGAGCGGTCTGTATACCACTGTCATGGTCGACTTTGGAGCCCCTGGAGTAGGCTTTCCGGATGGAGGCCAGGTCCGCCATTACCTTGCTAACAACAACTCTCTGGTTGTAAGTGTGCGGCACGCATCCCCGCGCATCTCAGGCGCATCTCTGCTGACACGATGCATCCTGCTTTGCCGGCAGGGCATGAGCGGCACTCTGATGCGCACGGGACAAGCCATCACTAGCTACAATGCGCCAAATCCTCCGGCCGGCTCAGGACCTCACCGATATGCGCAGCTGGTCGTTGAGCAGCCCAATGGCTGGGTCGCACCTGCCAACTTCTCTGCAGTGATGCCGCTCGCCCGAGGGTTCCAGGTGGAGCAGTACTTGAATTACTCTCGACTCGGTTCCATCATTGCTGCGACTTACTACGTTGTAGAGGGAGCGCCACCTACCAACGTATCGGTGAGCGCCACTTCGGCAGTACCTACCGCCACTGTAGGAGCGGTCGCTTCTTCCGTCAGTGCTAGTCTTGCCAGTGCCTATGCCAGCTCGACGGACAGAGCCGGCACATTCACGCCGACTCCTACGGGCGACCACTCGGATGCTGCCGTGGCCAGGCTGTCTAGCCCTATCCTGGCCTCGGTCGCGATATGTCTGTGCGTCTCCCTGCTTGCAGCCTTTGCGACCCTCTGAGCCACTTTGCAAAAATAGTGCCCCTCCGCCATCAAGTCTATGGTCGAAAAGCAGCCGGTCCAACTCTCACGGACTTATCGAAATTCCGACCAAAAAAAAAAAAAA